AAGTCTGCGCCTAAACGGCCAGTCCAATCTCTGCTCATGTGTCAACACAAAACCATCCTCTGCTACCAACTGTTGAGAATGAGAATCTCAATCGATGAATCATAATTTGTATTGACACACGGAGCATAAAAATAACCAAAAAAAGCATTCAGACTACTTATTTTATTAACTTTCAGCGCTGAAAGGAGACGCTTTACCATTACATCCGAGAAGAGTTTCTAAAAAAGTCTGTGCAGCGTCTGAGGAGAAGGAGGAGGAGGACTGAAGACACTCCCTGAAATCACACCATGTCTCTGTGGCCTGATAAGTTTCTGTTTCTCATGAGAAATGGACCTTGGTGTCTAACAGAATCAAAAATGTAACTCTTTACTATGGGCCCTTTGTCTAACAGCATGTGACTCTTTCTCGGCCTTGGTAAAGCATCTCAACACTTGTTGACTGAAAAAAGAGACAGGAATAAAAATTAGGATATGGATGACTTTTCTGTTTTTTTTTTTACATTTTCTGTCCCAAACTTTTTTCCTAGAGAATATTTAGAAATATTTCAAATTTTTCCCACTAGATGTCTAAGTGGAATTTTTTGCTAGTCAACAATCTGTCAATCTTGCGTGATAAATAAACTTTAACATGTTAGAACATCTCAGTAACTCTTGACCTTTATGATGGTAGAGCAGTTATGTGTTCCTCCCATTGAGTGGGATGAATAAAATCCCGTCTAAGCTTTGTAAGAAAACAGACACATATCCTGAAGAGGATAATTCACACGCCCCAATCAAACAGACATCTTTGCTAATACTTCACAAGTAAGAGTCCTTGCATGCATATGTCAGGCAGATAATGATGGGCTCAGCGGACTCCTCGAAGCATCTGACTAAAATAACCTTCATGATTACACGTCTGGTTAATAATCCTATGCATGTACAAAATGTATAATTGAAGAAAAGAGACTTTCTTTTGAGGCGAAGCATGTTTATTTTTACACAAAGTAACTGAAAATGCTAATCACTATACGCTCTTTGACGTAGCAAGTTAAAAATTTATTAAAAATTGGGCATTTCATAAAGAAGCAGGCAGTAAAATACACATTTTACAGTAATAGTTAGAAGCCACTCGTTAGGAGATTTTAAAAAGTCTATCTTATTAAAGGAAACATCCATTAAAAATTATGTTTTCAGTCCCTGATTTAGCCAACAGTTTCTGCTGGAGTTATCTCTGTCTGTATTTTTGTCCCTGGTTAATTACAATCAGTGCCATGAATGTGTTCAAAAACACAACAGAGTTTATAATTCTGTTATAAACAAAGTGTTTATAACAGAATTATAAACACTGAACTAATTTACCACTGGGATTTCAAAGTTCAGATGTAAGCTATGTATGACTCAGCCTTTACAGCTACAGTCTCCAGTTAGCTCATGGCTTGCTAATGCTAAC